AATAGGTGAAGTTTTTACAATTTTTATAAGTATGAAAAAAAAGAAAGGCATGGAATACATTAAGAATATAATATGGCATCAATAGAAAATCTACTAATCTGACACTAATGTGGATTTTTTGACCAATATATCTCCATTTGTGGATAGCGAGAAGTTACTCATTTTGTCAGCACACCTCACATGTTGTAATTGTAGAAATACTATCTGCTCATCTCCCGTGGAGAGCCGCCAGACGGAAGCCAACACCCCATCCCCATAAATTAAAATGACAAATGTGCATGTATTTACATAAGGATGTCCAATTAAGCTTAACATCCTAGAACCCATTCATTCCTTTTTGGGTCATTTTATCTATCCATCCATCCCTCCATCCATCCCTCCATCCATCCATTCATCCATTCAACAATCCAACAAATTTTCGATCGATCGATATCCATCTACCCAGCGACTCCTACCTTCTCCCCAATCTCCGTGTTATCACCGGCAGGCAACATAGCAAGGTCGGGCTTCAGGGCGCACGCCTCCAGCACCCGTTCGTAGAACTTGGAGTCAAAAGCTTGGCCGAACTGAATGTTGGTTTTTATGCTGCTGTTCTGAATCCACGCCTGTTGTGGGACGAAGGCTACAGAAGCCTGGGAAGAAAATACGTGTACATTTGAGTAAAGATTGAATTGCAAATGGAGGGGGTGGGAGGGGGATTATGCAATTTCGAGGAGGGTAGGGTGGTTATAATCATATATTGTAATTGTAACCCCCCCCCCCAATACCGACATAAATAAGATCATCTAGAATGTGGCCTTCGATCCTGGAAGACAGACAGAGATATTCGATACAAAACATCCCCACACGAGATTCGAACTCACGTTTTCTACTTTAAACGGCGAAGCATTTAACTGGAAAGGGTTTTTTTGGGAGGGGGGTTGGGGGGAGGGGTGGCTGTGACATTGAAGTACTGTAAACCCTCAAGTCGCGGTTGGAGTAGCCCCTGGTTCTATGCATCCCCCCAGTACAGAAGACACATCCATCCATCCATCCATCCATCCATCCATCCATCCATCCATCCATCCATCCAT